GGTTCAGGGAAGGGCGGTGGTGAAGGCTGCTCTTGAGTCCAGGGACTCCTCCAGCTCTAGTCAGGGTCACTATTGGGAGGGACACACTGACGTCACATACCACACGCCCCTTTTGGGCTGTTCAACCCCTCTGCTGCAGGGTCAGGGGTGAGGAAGCCTCTTCCAAGGCACTCTCGGTATTGTTCCAGCTCCCAGGGGGTCCATCTCTCCCTCCGGCGCTAAGGAGCTAGGAACCACCTGCAGCTTACTTCCCTCCTCCAGCTTCACTTTCTGTTCTGAGAAATAGTGGAGCTGATTTACATGATCAATAGAATTCTTTGTCTCTCACAACTCATGATTTATATGCTGAGGTACAGAGGCTAAATGAGGATGGTGAAAAGATTTTCGCAATATTCACAGTATTATGAATGTGCACACTTTAGCTGCTAATTACTGAGTACATGAAACTTGCAGGCTCTGTCTCAAGTGACTGACAGTTACTCAGATACATTATCAAGGGATTTCGGGTCCAAAATTAAGTAAATCATACTCCCTAGTTCCTGCTAAGAATCATCGTGACCAAAGCGAGGTTCCTTCGTCATCTTTATTGTTTTCCTGCTTCTCCTCCATCTTTGCTTCTTTCCCAGTCCTCATGGGTACCCACGCTAGATTATTCAAAATGTGCATCCTCCATGTTCCTTCATAAATACTTAGAAATATGTACATCAAGTACATGGTATTTTGATACAACTCCTATTTGCTTTTTCTACATCCACTATTTTTGGGATTTGCCTCTGTAATGTAGGCAAGTCTAGTTTGTTATTTGTGATTTTATTAAAATCTTTTTTTTTGCTTATGGCATATTTTACTTATCCAGTTTGCTAAACATTTTGAATACTTTGCACATATTATCTTATTTCATCCTAAAGATTGCCCTTTAAAAAGTTATTTATTTTTACCAAAGAGGAATTTAAATCTCTGGGAGATTAATTTGTGTAAGACTACCAGTGGAAGTGGAGGAGTTGGCTGATGGTACATTCTGTGTTCTTTGCTATGAATTTGTTTTGTCTCCTTCTGTTTCATTGCATCTTTATGATTTATGGAATCAAAAAATCTTCCTGTAGCTAATCATATCCTCTCAACTTTCAAACCAAAACTTGGCTAATCTCAACACTTTTCCCAGCGTCTGACACTGAAATTGTCAAAGCCCATTTCCTGTCTGTCTCATGGCTCGTTCCTGGGGTCAGAGCATCTGACCAGAGATTAGGTGGCAGATTGTTGGGGTGCCGATGTGGCCACACTGGCTTTGTCCCAGGCACACCCCAGCCCACTTTAACTTTAGTTCTCACCCTGACTGCTGTCTTGCAGGATGGGACAGACACGCCTCTTTCCTGGATGAGCACAGTGCAACACAGCGCGGTTAAGGACCTTGTCCTACTTGCTACATACCTAGCAAGGGACAGAACCAACGTGTGAACCCCAAAATCTCTAACTCAAATTCTGTACTCTTTCTACCACATCCTGTTGGCCTTGTAGGAGAAGAGAATTACAGTGGTGCTTTGGTTCATGAACCTAATTTGTTCCATGGTTCCGGAGAAGATAGCAATGGTCATGTTCATCCCCTGATGTGAAGTTCACAAAGGGAAGCAAAATTTTGCTGAACGCTTCTGTTCACAAATTGAATTGTTCATGAACAGAAGCATTCACGAATGAGGTATTATTGTACTCTTTCTGCAGCTCCAAGCCCAAACTTTAAAAATCAAAACAGCTCTCTAAGACCATTGGGTTATATTCAACTTTTATGGGAAAAAAGGATAAAGATTGATTTCGTGGGGGTTTTTGTTTCATGGTCTGTGGTTTTTCTTCTACTCTTTTCTTTATGAGATAAGATAAACTTAGTTGTACTATATCTCTACTTGCTATGTCTTTGGGAAAACTGCTAACCAATTAGAACCTCAATTTATCTAAGAATAAAATGAGAACATGGTAATGATTTTTGAACTCTTAGAATGGATTTGTACTTGTATGTGGTACAGCTTGTTTATTTTTCAAAAAGGTAATTTCCAAGATATTTTTCAGAAGCAAAAATTCAAGATCAGGCTGGCGATACCCAGTGGTGTATGATGTTATTTAAGCAGGGGCTTTGGGTACCATCAGCTTGGACTGAACTTCAAGTAAAAGGAAGCAACAGCCTCCCTGAATCCAGAACAACTTACAA